TTGTTTTGCCGGATCAAGAGCGATTCAGCACAAAATTACTTCCTTTTCTTTGGCACAAGGCCAACAATTTTACTCACAAAATAGTTAATTCACAAAATACTTAATTAAAGAAAAACTTTACAGAGTAGGTCATGCTTCATCGGAACATACATGAGTGCACTGAACAAACTTCAAATAGAAGTAAAACGCAAAGAAGACGGTGGATCTTTTTTAATCGAGGGGTTAAGTTGGTCAAGATATAGCTACTACTTTTTTTCCTTTGTGTTATTCCGGGATCGGAGAGAAGCTTGAGATGGCCGAACGAGATAGTAAACTAACTTAAAGAAAACAGAATCTTAAGTGTGAGGCAAAAGGCAAAAAGAAACTAGGGAAAGAAAGAGTCGAAAGTTTCTACACCTTAAGAAGGTCTAAGAATTCCCTTTGCCGCGCCAGGGCCCACTACGTGACTAATTTGCTTTCATTGTTTTTTTACTATTATTCAGTTAACATAATCGTGCGGGTTGACAACACGCGCGATCCAGGATCCGCATTTGCTGAAGAGGTTTTAATCACGCCCAATCAACACGAACGTTTGTTGGTCAGTTTTCAGATCACGAAGATCACGTCCACTCGCTGGGTCTTAATCTTCACTTTAAAAAGAAGCTTTGTGCATGTTAAATCATGACTGGAAACACAGCAACAACAACAAAATTAAGGAAACAAAAGCAACAACGGACTGAAATAGCCAACGAAGAAATTAAGTCTATAACACTTTTGTACAACGGCCAGGAGTATACTGTTGAATTCCCTAAAAACGCCGACGCTACCCTCATCCGCCAGATTATAGAGCATAAAACAGGAGTGAAAGGCTTATTTTATGTGCATTTCGGACACCAATTAACGAACTATTTACACTGCTCAAGTATTACAGGGGAAAATTTAGCTAAAGTGGCAGAAGGAAATGGTAAGTTTTTTAAAAAATCGACAATAACTGAGTAGTATAAAGCATCAAGTACCAGCTGCCGATCAAAGACCGGACCCGGAAGACGGCGGAAATCGAGCCTAGACTAATGGTAGCTGATACATATGCCTCAGCCAATTTACCTTTCAATATCGGGTTGAATGATGTAAAACGTACAATAACACTCGGGTTTGTGCAGGCAACGCTANAGGTTTTAATCACGCCCAATCAACACGAACGTTTGTTGGTCAGTTTTCAGATCACGAAGATCACGTCCACTCGCTGGGTCTTAATCTTCACTTTAAAAAGAAGCTTTGTGCATGTTAAATCATGACTGGAAACACAGCAACAACAACAAAATTAAGGAAACAAAAGCAACAACGGACTGAAATAGCCAACGAAGAAATTAAGTCTATAACACTTTTGTACAACGGCCAGGAGTATACTGTTGAATTCCCTAAAAACGCCGACGCTACCCTCATCCGCCAGATTATAGAGCATAAAACAGGAGTGAAAGGCTTATTTTATGTGCATTTCGGACACCAATTAACGAACTATTTACACTGCTCAAGTATTACAGGGGAAAATTTAGCTAAAGTGGCAGAAGGAAATGGTAAGTTTTTAAAAAATCGACAATAACTGAGTAGTATAAAGCATCAAGTACCAGCTGCCGATCAAAGACCGGACCCGGAAGACGGCGGAAATCGAGCCTAGACTAATGGTAGCTGATACATATGCCTCAGCCAATTTACCTTTCAATATCGGGTTGAATGATGTAAAACGTACAATAACACTCGGGTTTGTGCAGGCAACGCTATCCATCAGGTCAATTGACGCTGTCTAAACCTTAATGTGATTGATCTGTTTTGATAATGCCAGCGCTTTTTGTAAACTTACTGCAACATAAACACTAATCACGTTTTTGCTTTACTCATAGGTAGTCCAGTAAAAGCCGATGTGATTCCATTTTCTGTACGTTAAGTGACGGCAGAAAACAGGACCGAAAATGAACAGAACTTTGCCTGAAGGATTGGTCATTACTCCGATCCAGAAGACGGCTGAAAAGTTGGCCTGATTTCTGGACAAAAATAATTTCTTTCGGCACGCAAAGGAAACCGCTCGCATAAATTTTCTTGACATTGCTTCACTGGTGACAATTATTGCTGAGCTAGTGTAACAATCCGGCTAGGGTAGAAGTCATTCTTGTAATACGTGGTGATCTATCGCAGAAATTGTAATGAAATGGAACCGAAACACTCAAATGGTGTGATCATTCGTATTTCTTGCTGGGGAGGTTTCGTGAGACGGACGTGTCTGTTTTGGTCTCAACTGATGATCGTTCGTTTTGTGTTCTACTGCGCATTGGTACCCACAAAACTCAAATGTTTATTTTTTAAAGCAAAAATATTCCTTTAGAGTGCGGTTTCCTGGTAAGTAGAAGCACTCTATCATTCAATACATGTTCAAAAGAGTATAATTTCTAAGTCAATTAATCAGAGTTCCTGACAAAATTCTAGCTAGATTTACGTCATCAGTGTGGAATTTGTTAGGCCAAAACGCACACGTCCCTTGCCGAAAGTCCTTGAAATTGAGGGAAGCAAAGAAAAAAAGACGGCTGAATTTCTCGCAGGTTATGTATGTGATACATTTCAAAAAAGGTTTGTGAACTCAAATAGGGTCGAAAAAGCTCATATCATCGTAATAAACCCGGTCATAAATACATGTAAAAAGGTCCTTACTTGTACTTTGCAGCCATGTGAAAAGGCGGCCATTTTGTTTGACGAGAAATTTTGAACTATTACTTTTTCGCAGAATTATTTGCATGAAAAAGAGCTTAGTTTCCGTAAGAGACAAACGCTTTGATTTGTTCTTTCAACCAACATGCATATGGCCTCTTTGACGTCAGCTGATAATCAGTAATAAGATCAAATTAAACCCATTTCTACCCGAAATAACGCGATAGTTATCCATTGAAAATTCTATTAATGTTTCCACTCCTGTGGGAAACTAATAGAAACTGCTGGAAGAAAGTTGTATTTAAAGTCATGTAACTCAGAATATGTCCAGTACTTTTGACGTGTATGTTGTAGCTCAAGCAGAGAACCAGGATGGTGACGGCAAGGAGAACGTCAAAAAAAGCAATAGCAGTCATAAGAGTCAAGTCCCATGTAAACGGACGCAACATTGTTGGCCAACAACTTCCAACATTTTTTGATGTTACACGTCCCGGTCGTTTGCACACCCTGTTGCATGTTGTTGGGAGTTGTTGCGCAAAGTTTGAAACCAGTCAAACCTTTGAACCAGCAACTCCCAACATTTCTTCCGTTCCGTGATCGCCGAAGCGTAGCGCAACAACGTTGGATCCGTTTGCACTTCCAACATTGCTGGGGCCACGCACGCGAATTACGTCTTATAGGTTGTAACCCTCCCACAATGCACTGCAGATCCCAACATTGTTAGAAGTTGTTGCACCCGTTTGCAAACCACTGCCAACACGGACGCCACAACTCCCAACATTATTGGTCCAACACTTTTTGATTTCTTGATATCTCTTCGGCTGCACGACTACGACGGCCATTGTCCTTAAGCTGCTTACGTTTTATATAGAACTTCACCAAAAGAGTGCAAATTTCATTCTTTTTGTAATTGAATACAGTCCTTAGAAATTCAACTCCAGAAAAATTTCCTTACATTATACAAATGACATCGGAATGAGACTGTAATCAAATAGCGGTACAGTTTGAAGCAACGATAATTCCCCCCTTCCTCTTGTCATGGCATAGTCACGCAAAAGTGCATGTACAGAAAATGCTTCCAGAACTACATGCGTCAAGTTATACATTATACCGGGGTTATTAAAAATTGTTCTTTGCCCCATATTATATGAGACTGGTGACCCCTCCTTACTCTCTCTTTTTGTTCTTCAACCCCACCCCTTTTAAGTTTCCAGAGAGGACGAAGCCCTAATATCCGAAAACGCAGAAGATTCTAATTTTCTTGACTTTTTGCGCAGATCTTGTTATGTTGTGTTTTCTTGAGAAATATCCAGCTCAGTTTAGAATCTCTCTAAAGTATCAATAAAGCATGTACTTCAGTAAACACCAGATTTATTCAATTACGCCAGTGGATGTGTTCTCGCGCGATAACCGATAACTCGAAGTGCCCAAATGAACCGTATTCACTTAATTTATTGGATTAGTAAAAATGACCTTTGTACCTTCAAATAAAGGTTTTAAACGTCGAACATTTTGTGTATTTTGGGGACTATATATTGACAATAACAAAAAATAAAAATACCTGCTCCTTTTCAGCTGACGACCGTAGTACTGTGTTGATGTCGTTGATACATTTCCTTTCTTTAAAGGATGAAATCGAACTGCACTGTTCGAAAGACATGGGAAAAAAAATCTGCTCAGTGCTTCAGAAACCTCTTTCAATCCTCAAATATATAGTCACATCAAACAACTAAGTGTGGTGGAAATATATGATAGTTCACTGGCTCAAAACATAACGTGGCTATGACTGACCCCACAAATTTAGTGATTTTCTCTCATCATGAAGCTTACAAATTGATCATTGCGTACTAACGTGTTTTTGCAAAGTGGAGACACTATTTGACGCTTTCATGGAAATGGATTAATATTAAACGAGGTCAGGCGCGGATCTAGGGGAGGGTGCAGGGGATGCGCACCCCCCCCTCCCCCCCTGAGATGACCTGCGGTTTTCTAATACAACTGGTATTCTGAAAAAAACTATGTGGTTTATTGGTGTTGAAGTAGAGCAAGAGACGAGTGCACCCCCTCCTAAAAAAAATCCTGGATCCGCCCCTGGAGGTACTCCTTCTTCTTCTCTTTTTCTCTCGTTCAGACTTCTTTTAAATTGTCGGACGATGTGTATGATTACATTCTTTATCTGACAGTTCTTTAAGAATGACTATAAAAACGGAAGTGGATTTTTTTTTCTCAAGAAAATGTAACAAGATTCTTGTTGAAATAAAGAAATATAAGGGTCGTTGTTTTTGTTTTGGCGAAAACCTGTCGAAGGTGAAGATAATATTAAGGGGGTCTTTGTTTTCGGGTCAAGGTCTAAGGACCTCGTTTTTCGCTACCGGTTACCACTAACGACAAAAAGCAATATTTCAGACACGAAATAAGTTTATTATTTTTATCTTACAACCAATGCAATGATTTGATACGTTATTCCTGTACATTTCCTCTAAATTCAAACAATTTCTTCCACCGCCTTCATCAACCAGTATTTGTTTCCCAGTAAGAAATGGTGATTGTCATATGAAAGCTTTCGCGATGGAAGCCAGTTTTAGACGTTTTACTATACTGAACAGATTTGTCTTCTTCCTTTTCCGTAGAATCAAAAACTATAATACATATTATTTATCTTCAAAATGCTGACCTAAACCTGCAACCTCGGCTGACATCATCATGGTATTTCACAATCCGAACCTCTCAAGTCCGCAAATGACATATGCACATTTCGTCCAAATATATACAATTCGAGTACTGCAGTCACACAGCTACAGGCCCCTTTACAAGCTAGTTTGTGTGGGCCTTCTGCCCACCAATTTTTTTACAAGATGCTTCCACGATATATAATTAGTTCTTCTTTTTTCTTAACGCCTAGTTTGAGCTCATAAATATATGATAATTGATCCCACAGTCTCATAAGTGAAGTGGAGCGAAGAAACTGTATGACACCGATTTCGTTTGCGTGTTAGCTCAGATTATCTTTGTACAGAAGTCAGGCGAACTTTTTCACCGTACTGGTTACGAAACCCTCTGGTAAAGTTCTCTTTACGTTCTTCCTTGATCTGTTTTCTGCCATCTCTCAGCATATTGAAATCAAGTCAGCTTTTGTTGGAATACCTAATAAAGAAAAACGTGATTTTCGGTTAAAGTCGCATCAAGAGTCATAATGGATCGCATTTACAAAACAGTTGCGACATCGCCTTCCCCCCTCCGCCAGCTCCGCCCCCCAAAAAGGAGCTGTAACAGAAATTTACGTAAACAAAAAAAGAACAAAAACTAACTAACTCGTAAAATGGTGGCAATTACAATACCTAAAAATTGCAGTTCCAATTAAAGAAAAATAAATCTAACATAATTACAATGAATTTTTAACAGACAATAATAGAGTCAGGTGTTCACTAGTTATGGTGGTGGGTCGCGTGACAACTTGATCTCGGGCGTCTAAGTATGTTTTTAGAGGTAAAATTTGTTTTTGTATACGTATCAGGGCCAATCAATTATTTCTTTTACACTTTTACTGCGATATTCTGTTTCCAAACAATACATACAAAACTGCGAATTGAATTCTTTAAGTCACAAATCGAATTGATTTTTTCCAAAACTTACCATATCCTCCTGCTAGTTTAGCTAAATTTCCCCTGGTAATACTTGAACAGTATAAATAGTTAGTTAACTGGTCTCCGAAGTGCATATAAAATGCACCTTCCACGCCTGTTTTACCCTTGATTATCTGGCGGATGAGGGAGGCATCTGCGTTGTTGGGAAGCTCAACAACATAATGTTTGCCGTTGTACTGAAGAGTGATTGATCCAAGTTCGTTGTTATTTTCTGTTGCTCGTTGCTTTCGTTTAAAGACTTTTCTGGGATTAGCTGTGTTTCTAGTCATGATTTAAATTGCAGAAAACTCCTTTAAGTGAAGCCGATAGAGAGCCAGCGTGTGCACGGCGTGATCTCAAAGACCGAAGAAAGTGCGTGTGTGATGATTCATGATATAAGCGTGCCTAATATAATATTATCAGATGAGCAATAGATTGCGTGCTATTTCAGAGTTCGCGCCCCATGACGCAAGCTGAATGAAGATCTATGAAAATAAACATGTCACGAAGAGGCCCAGGAAAGTCAGATTAAATTAACGTGTAAGAACTTCTGACCTTTTATTTTTTTTTCGCTGAAACGCGCTCAATCTGGGAAAACACTTTAAAAGAATTTCGATATTTGCTCTTGTAGTTGTCATCAACGTTAAGTAAAATAATTCGGGGGCTGAAGAGAAGTCATGAAATAAGAATAACGGAAATTTGGACCTTGGAATAATGGAAATTAGTAAAATCCAACTAATGGTCTATTATCAATGCTGCGTTCTGATTGGTTGAGCTACTACTAGGCTATATGTTGTAGCCCACTGGTAGCGAAAAGCGCGGGCTTTTCAGCGGCAAAAAAAGGATTTTAACTAGCTAGAGTTGTTTTGTCTCGATATTTTTGACCATCTAGTCATGGCCTCTCTGTCAATAGCCCGGCCGTTCGGGCTCGAGGAATAATTGTTAAATAATTCTTGAAGATATTAACTAGTACAAAAATTTGGGCGAAGAACTCCTCGCGAGGTCAACCAATGCGAAATATATAAACATGCACAAGTGAAAAAATGTTAAGTGATAAAGGCTTTATTCTTTGCTTACAACCTCGTTCCCAGGGCCTAGTCGAAAATGAGACCGAGAGGCCGTAAGATCGTTATAATTGCCGCATGGTGATTTTACTTAATTTGCGAAGGTAACACTACGAAACCTCATGTTTGTCTGTGAAAGAGAGAGTGGAGATTTGGCACAAGAGAGTCAGTGAGGTTTACGCAAAGCTCCAAGAATCCTGAGAACAAACCCCTCAGAAACTACTTTTCTAAAAAATATTTCAAGTTGTAAAAAACACTTGCTGGACAGAGGATACTATTGCAATCTGGTAGAAAAGCTGTTATCAGAAATTAAAATTCACTAAAAGGGACTCAGCGCTTTAATAAACAAAGCAACTGTTCGGGAATATCCACATACTCAATAAAACACTCGGAACTTGGACTGTATATCTTTATTCCCAGCAACGATCCTCGTTCACTACACCGTACATTCATTAATTCCTTCTGCCTAATCATAACAACTCTCTTTTCTTATACACAGTCTTGGCATTTTTGTTATAAGATATCTATGTGTCATATTCTTATCACATCACGCACGTAACATTCAAAAGCAATTAACTTGTCAACTTAATACATTCCTTATCTCTTTAAAAATACATGCGATCAAGGTTTCCATTACTATGTTTAGGGTAAGGCACGTTGTGTTGCGTAACGCGCTTTATGTTTCCCAACAGCAACTATTACGACAAAAGAAGAAGTCTTAATAAAAGCTCTACTCAAAAAATGGCACTTAAAATAAAATCAACCACTTCTTGTCCAAATTTTACAGAACCACCGATTATTTCTTATCAGAAAGGAAAGTCGTTTAATAAGGATTTTCCCCTTAGAGCCAAATTATAGAGGGTTTACATCCGACATGGTATCACGCAGGTAGGATTCGACTTGAAGTAGGGCGGTCTGAAATTCAGGCTACCACGGTCTTTGTGAATTGGAATTTGATCACGTACGTTCATATCTAGGGATTAGCTTTTTCAACGAAATAAAGGAGCAAAAATCACGTGACCCAACCATTAACAATTGGCGCCAAATTCAATGCAAATGCTAAAAGCAGCGTAAGCCGTTGTTTTTGTACTTTAATATTTCCCAAGAGGCCGGAACATAATAGAAAATAATCTACCTTTTCAGTTCTCTTTCTACAAGAATCAATGGGGATACAGCGTCTAATGTTCAAATATAACATTTCCATTTGCAAGAGGAGCAGATGCTGGCAAGTCGATCCGATCCGGTTTATTAATTACAGCTCAAGTGGTCGCCCCCGCAGTCAAATTGTAAGTCTTCTTGACATTGCATTTAATGTAAGTAACTTTGCTGACTTCTGGTGAAAAGGGAAATTTATTAAAGTTTTCGGGCGGCGCCGCTGTCCTGATTACTTGGTGTACGTGTCATCAGTGTACTTAGAGCTACGGTTCGAAAGAATTCAGTACTAACGGTCTTATAATCAAGAAACACTGAAAAGCAATATAAAACTGGGGGAAAAAACCGAACGACTTTTAAATATTTACTGGTAAAATGCAAGCAAAGCTTCTTTGTAACGGATCAACTTTTGTTCAAGGGCGTTTCATTGCTAGTTCATGAAAAATACTACTTTGATATGATCGCTTTGTAAATTTAGGCTTTGAATACACCCTACTCGACCCGATCAGTGACATTCTTGCTCTGCAAAGGAACTCGACGCGTGGCGACGAAATGATTTGGTGAATTTAAGACCATCAGGATCAGGAATACCCAACGACCGAACGCCTCCAAATACGCCAATAGTGTGTCAAATAGTTTTCTGCTCTCTACTTTAAAAGCCTGCTTGGTCAATTTGGAGCTGTCCTAAAAATAATGTTTGGATGTCTTTACGAAACTAACCAATAGGTCGTTCGTCTCAAACATTTTAGGTGGCTAACTCTGTAGCTCATTGCTACCCTGGTACACACCCTGATGGGTTCGGTCGAACGTCAGAGGACATGGGGTAGCCGTTCTTGAGGACGCTTTGTCTCCCAATACACCGAAATATTCAGGAGACCTTTTTTTAACAATAATTGCAAAATATTCAGTATATGAGTAATAAAAATCATTTGAAAAAAAAAACCTCCAAAAATCTTTGGTAAGTTAGAACAAAAACGCTGAATATCTTCCCATGTACGGTTTTCGGCCTGGTCATTCCGGATTCCAAGCCATGTCGTATCATTTCAATTTTATTTCACAAATGATTTACTAATGGCACGGTTAACCAGAAAATCTGCTGCCTTTCTCAAGCCTTAGACTTACAAATTTCAAAGCAATATTTGTCGGGAGCTCGAACAGTTATTTTACAGTGCTTATATTCCAATAATAAAGTGGTGAAATACAAACTACAGCCTACGATTATCTAACCAATATCAACTCACAGTATACTCCTTGATCCACAGGGTTTTAAAGCGTGAGACAATGATCATGGCTCAGAGTGGATTAACGTTTGTCTCCGTTCTTCTTTTATCCATTGTCGCCGTTGGTAAGGCAACTACACGAATTAATCAAGTACTTAGTCATTAAGCAAAGAACTTGAAAGCTAAGGTGGCAATGTTACTCTCAGTGTTCAATAGGCTTTAAAGTTAAGGTTATTTTTTGCACAGATTTACTTATATAAATATATAAGACGACTCATCCCGGGGCGAAGCCAGAAGCCATTGGTTGTGCGCTCCCCACGAGGCCAATTTCTAACGCGGAGACCTCGGCAGTTTTTAAAACTGACCTGTCGAGGATGATGCGTCAAGGATAATGCCATGACAAAATGCGCCCCTGAGCAATTCTCATCACCTATTACTATACCTCTGTACACATTTTACAAAGTGAAATATGATTTTTTTTTATCATCATTATTCTTTACAGGTCAGTGCTCACACCAGACTTCAAAACCATGTTCAGACACCTTCAATGTTAACTTTGTTTACCTCCCAACTGACAAAATGCCCACCACTGTTCCTGACATGGAAGCTCCAGATGACGCCTGGTTTCAAAACAAGGATTTTTGTAAAAGGCATTGCGAAGCGAAATGTATCGCAGTTTGGAAAGGTTGCAGTGCTTTCTCGTCCATGTTGAAATCTAACGGCCAATGCAGCTGCTACGGATGGAAGACTACGCCTTCGTTTAGCGAGGACTCTAAATACCTTTTTGGATACTGCGTGCCTCGTGACAAGAAAGGCCAGTGAGTAATCGTTGGTGTTTGAGCTGGCTGATGCTACCCGGACAATCTCCTGTGTCTCCGAGTGTTCACTCTTAGATGGTGTGTTGTGTAGTCGGCTTAGTTTTGTTTTATGCAATTATGTTCTTTTTCTATTGTTATTTTTTTTCTGTGCACAGAAACACTTATGGGCCAGTCCAAAATTATGGCTCTTGGCCAGTCTAAGTCATTTTTATCTAGGTAGTATGTCAACTTTGTTTATTACCAGCAATGTCAAGAAAATATATGGTGTAGTGAAATAAACATTTACCTACTCGAAAAAAACAAAAGGCCTATTGTTTTCCCAAACGGTGGCTCTCGTTTTAGTAACGGGCCATTGATTCTTCTGAACCAAATATTTACCAGCTCTAAATTGTAGCTACTCTAACTTGTTTTTTGGCCATCTAAGGCCCTCCCCGTTTTTTTCTCCGTTTAGCGTCGTCCGGACCAACCCAAATTTTTGGCATTTTCAGGAAAAAAAAACAAGTAACGACGTAGTTAAACCATTTTTCACTTGAAATAATTCTTTTAATCTGAAAAATGAGCATAGTAATATCACAGAGAAAAACAGGAAAAAAAACACGGGAACATTTTTTACAGTATATTGTGCATGTTGTTTAACTTTTAACGTCATCCAGGGGGACCAGGGCCTCCTCTTCCGAGAGTTCAATATTGTGATTTTTTTTTTTTTTAGGTTTCAGTTTTTTTCAATCCGACCGACCGATCCAATATCAGGAAACGCATTCTACGCTAAACGAAAAAAAAGAGGGGGAGGGGTGCGGTTGGCCTAAAAAGCAAACTGCGGTGATAAAGCACCGCATCTTTTTTTTTTAAAGTCTCTTTTCCCTACAAGGACAGGCTCCGCACCCATGCTCAACTGTCCAGAGTTGTTTATAAGGCTGGTTGTTGGGACTGCCAGGATTTCTTCATAGGTAAAACTAAACGTAGCGGATTGCACGACAGAAAAACTGAACACTTCAAAGCCATTACAAGTAGCAATCATCAGCTATTGAAGATCATGTGCGGTCAAATGGTCATAACTTGAAATTTCGAAATTTTGGCAAAAGGACGGTGGGACAGCCATTGCAAGATAAGGGAGACTCTATTGATTAGGAATTTAGAACCTTCTCCAAATGAAAATGTCAGCAGGAAAAAACGTTACCTCTTTTAGTTTGCATGCTTTTTCTTTTATATGCAAGTTTTCCCACCATACGTTATCTTTTATATTTGTGTTGTTTTTCAACGGATTATTACTTCAAAAGATGTACAGTGGATGTATGCAGGAACATAAGGAAGGTCAAGTTTACGATTTTGTCTCAGTTTTGCTCCTCTAATAAACCAGAGAATGAGACCGTTATTTTATACTACAGCCTAACTTCACAGGATTAAACAAATCGGAGAAAGACATGGAGTTATATTTCTTTTTATTGATCTTGTAACTAAAAACTTGGCTATAATGTTTATAAAACAGTTCAACTTAGAAACACTTAGTCTTATTACATCAAAAAATAATCTGAAATCGAGCAAGGTCATCAAAAGAAATAACTACAATTAATCCACAGTTATCAATTTATTTTGTTAGTTGCTTTTGCAATTGTATTCCTATAACGGCAACTATAAATAAAATTGTTGTTGTTGCGTACAATCACAAGACAAATTAGTCACGGCTAAAACAGTGCTTGTAAGGCACCCTAAAATTCCAGAGACAGGACTATCATTGTGCATTGTTATTGTGGGCAACAACGGATAAGGAACTGGAGCTGGTACATCAAACTCATTTCGTCTTCAGATGGATACTCGTCATCAGTCAACGGCAGCAAATCATCTGTTTCTAAGTATGGCAGGTGAGCAGTTGCTGTATTGCCTAGGTCTTCAGTCTTCTATTATAGTGGAAAGAATTGGTTGCTGAATGTTTGGTTTATCATACACTTCATCCCAAAGTACTTGATCCCAGTCATCTCCATAATTGTAAGTCTCGGATTTTGGTTCATAATCGTAATAATAATACCACTCCCCATAGAAGTCATTATCGCTAAAGTCACCATAATAATAATCCCAATCAACAGAGTCATAATTGGGGGAGTATATACGCAACTCCGGATGGCTGGAAGAGGTTGGAGTACTGTCGTTGATTTCAGCGATTCGGCTCTGATGGTTTCTGATGTGGCGGCGGTGGTAAGGCTCGCTGTCGTGCTTAAAGGCCACTTGAATAGTGTGTGTAGTTATCAGGAGCAAGCAGCGCGTACCTGGGTACCGGCGGTCGTTCACGTTCATGGTTGTTCCCTCGTGGACAAGTGTTTGATAATGGCCAGGCAAACAACATACATAATAATAAGGTCGGCCATCTCTTGATCGCTCCCTAGTGATACGTGTCTCTCGTTGACGATGTGCGAGTCAGACCAGTGATGTGTGCGTCCATCCGCTTTTCCAAGTTATTCATTTGATTTCCCATATGCTTCAAAAGTTCAGTAAGATCTTCAACCTTACTTTGGTAACCCACTTGTGGCTCTGAATAAGCGGCAACTTTATCTGACTTGGTAACTGTAATTGTAAGTTCATTTAGCTTCTGTGTTAATGTTTCTATTTGTGCTTGAGGTGACTGTTGTTGTAAAAGTATTAAGTGAAGCGTTAGTACCTGTTGCTTGAGCGGGTACCTGTTGACTGCGGGTAATTGCTTCAGTTAGGCGTTCAATTTGGCTGCTTTCTTTGGTGTTAGTTTCTTGCTGCGATATTGAGCCGACTGTTCTAGCCACTTCTTCTGCTTGCATGAGTGTTTCGGGCATTTGTTCTAGGACTTTGGTCTTTAAAGGTTGCAATAATCCTTCTGTGAAATATGTCACTTTGTCCTCTTCATCCCTATCAAGTCCACTAAACAGTTCATGCATATCATTGATATAATCTGATAGTAATTAATTTGGGCCTTGAAGGCGAGCAACTAAACGACATCGTTCGACCCATGCGCGGTCTTTGGTAGAGTAACGTTTCACCAGGGCCAGTGTTATAGTCTCCACGCTCGTCTGGTGGCAATTCAGACATAAAAGTTTCTGCTGGTCCAGCAAGATTGTTAATAAGCTGTGTTCTTGCGGCAGGGACATCCAACCTGATTCCTTTAGAGTCCAGAACTAGTTCCAATTTCTCAAACCAGCGATTTATGTCCTCATTTTCATATCCATGGAATTTGTTGATGTTTACTTCTTTATTTAAGAGCTTTTGAGTAAGTTCAGTTAGCGCACGAATGTATTCTCCATCCATACTGGTTGAACTTGAATCGTGGGCAGGATCAGAGTCTGAGAATGGTTCACTATGTCCGGCGGCAGTAACTCCTAATCCGTCTTCATAACTTTTACGTGAAAAATGTTTATAAATAGCAGCAGGTGAATTGATAGTCGGTAACTGTTGTCCACCAGCAGTATAATTGATAACAATTCGTGTATTATTTATCACCTCTGGTTGTTCTATAATTGTAGGATCTGCCGGTGCGGTGATAGAGGGTAATATACTACTAGGAGGTGAAATATTACCAGTAACAGTTGACGTACTCGCGGGTACCCGTTGACTACCTTTTGCAAAAATGTTATGCGTACAGTTTCCTTTTTCTTTTTCTCGTTTACTGAATAAAGTTCTTCCTCAGTTTCTACGAGAGCTCTGAGGCGCCAGGGGCCAAAGCACTGAGACTGTCGTCGCTATCGGAATCAACACTAAAATCCACAGGTTCCAAGCTGGTCTTGTCAAACCCTACAGAGTTTTTGTGAGAAGATTCCAGCGGTTCCGAACTAATTCCTTCTTTAGTAACTGGCCGACGCCTCAATTCTGGGGTTATTTTTGATTCGTCGAAAGGCAAATCGTACTCGACGCAGGCGTCTACTTTCGACTTCGGAGTACTTTGGTTCTTACTCCGGCTCCTTAGGTTGCAACGTTTTTTTCTTTTCGTGAAAAATTTCGGCATTAAGCTAAATTGACTTAATTGGGCGCACTCTCTTGCTCCAAGGGGTTACATCCTGTTCTGTGAAGTTTCTTTGCCCTCTGTTATTCCTTGCGTAATTGCCACTCTTCTCCACCAGTGTGAAAACACGTTTTTTCACTTAAACACCAGTGCGGAAACAGGCTTTTCCTTCACAAAAGGGTAAACAGGCGGACGGGGGAAACACTCTAGACTCTCTGGGAAAGGCCTTATCCTGGGGACTCTCTTTGGATGCGGGAAGGCGCGGAATCTCTTACGCCTGTTGAATACCCTTAAGACAATGATTACAACAGAACTTGGCTCCAATGTAGAGGTTTAATCCAAGACTATACCGCGGGTACAGTCAAAATATAACCAAGACTAGATGCAACAAGAATGTAACCGAAGAAGCTCCTACAAAAGCACTCGTATTTAAGAGGGTCTCAATGGGGTTAACCGATAGGCGTAAAACGGCCAAAAAGTTAGTCGATAGCCGTTAAAATTGAAAAATTTTAACCATTAGCCGTAAATAGGGTTAAAAAGAGTTAACCGTAAAAGAAACTGTTTCCTAGATTTGTCACTTTTAAGGGAGGTACTAAACTCACCTATGGTTGCGCTTTTTTATTTCCCGGCTAGTGTGACTCCGTACGCACGTTAGGCAAAGTGCCTAACGCCTGTTGACCGAGACCTAGGCTCCATCTCCGCGACTCTCTCGGGGAACTAATTTTTTTTTTCCATAACGAAAGTGTGGCTTTCTGCTTGGGATCAATATTTACGATTTTCAGGAGGTCGCGCCCTTGAAACACTAGTGAAACAACACACAGAGATGTCACTGTTTGTAAAACACGTTGCCGATAAACAACATTTCCCTGTTTTTCTCTGACGCTACGGTAGACATTGCCATGCCTAGTCCCTGTACGGCCTCTTCCCACGCAATCTCGGTCAAGGCATTTCGGTGGCGAACTCGCTAGGACCACATGACCCGAAACGCATTAGCCGCGCGGAATAATGAGGCCTACGGACAAGGCAACGGCAGACAGTCCTTCCGTACAGTCCTTCGCTATCATTAAAAACACGGGGCACGGGAATTCTGTTATTGGCCGTTTTCACGCTAGAGCTAGAAATGGATCATCCGTCTGAGACTAACCTGTGTACAGTCGTACCTTCCCCACACACACCCCTTCTCCGATTTTTTATGAGGGGAGGGGCGGCTGTAGACAGACTATCTGGAACGGATAATCCCGTCTTCAAACTGTCCGTCAAAATTGAAGGATAAAGTCAGGCCGATTGTTCATTCAAAATTGAAACTATTCCATTTTCAAATTAAGAAGTATTACCTATCTGACGCGAATCATCAAACGGATAATCCGTCTCACACGAATAATCCGTCTCTTGTGTGAAAACGGCCATTTCTGTTATAATGAATGTCGCGCCCCGGCCTTGAGTTGGGCGTTTGCGTGTCCGCTTTTGCTTTTTCACAAAGATTATTTTTAAATTGACTATTGACATTTCTATGTGTAAAATAATATTAGAAGTGAAATACTTTATAAAAAGTATGACCTATCAAATGTTAAAATTTTTCAAAAAAATAGCTTGTTAATGATCCGAAGACCTTTATTTTGATTTAAAGACACAAAACATACAGGTTAATTTATATTTAACTTTTTGAAACAAAAGAAGTTAGTTTTTAACTTTTTTGTTAACCGTAACTGAAAAAAATTAACCTATAGCCGTAAAAGAACCAAAATTTTAGCCGATAACCGTAAAAGCCATCACCCCATTAAGTCTAAGCTAGCGAAGCGATACAGATTACATCACAACTCAACGAGTCAAATTACAGAGCACAACAATCATTTCTAAAAGACTATTGGTGGAAACCTAAGCTTGTTTTGAAACATTAATTACTTCCAAAAGCTACACAGGTGGATAACGGCTTTTCTAGAGGTTGATTACAGCTAGTTTGAAGACCAAATACAATTATGACTCGACAAACAAGTTTACGCTCAATAAATCAGCAGGTTGTTTACGCCTTAAAGAGGTTAAGACTAAAGAATAAATGATTTCTACCTTGGCTTTTCATATTCTTATCAGCGAAAGCAAAATAACTAAACAACAGTAAATCCTCTCTTCACAACAGATCCACAGGGTTTTAAAGCGTGAGACAATAATCATGGCTCAGAGGGGATTAACGTTTGTCTCCCTTCTTCTTTTATCCATTGTCGCCGTTGGTAAGGCAACTACACGTATTAATCAAGTACTTTATTGAGCAAAGAACTTGAAAGCTAAGGTCGCGATGCTACTCTCAGTGTTCAATTGGCTTTAAAGTTAAGGTTATTTTTTGCACAGATTTACTTATATAAATGTAAGACGACTCATCCCGGGGCGAAGCCAGAAGCCATTGGTTGTGCGCTCCCTAATCGAAGCCAATTTCTAACCCGGAGGCCTCGGCAGTTTTTAAGACTGACCCGTCAATGATGATGCGTCAAGGATAATGCCATGACAATATGCGCCCCTGAGCGATTCTCATCACTTATTACTATACCTCTGTACACATTTTACAAAGTGGAATATGATTTTTTTATTATCATTCTTCTTTACAGGCCAGTGCTCACGCCAGACCTCAAAGCCATGTTCAGACATCTTTAATGTTAACTTAGTGTACCTTCCAACTGACAAAATGCCCACCACTGCTCCTTACAGAAAAGCTTTAGATGACGCCTGGTTTGAAAACAAGGATTTTTGTAAAAGGCATTGCGAAGCGAAATGTATCGCAGTTTGGAAAGGTTGCAGTGCTTTCTCATCCATGTTGAAATCTAACGGCCAATGCAGCTGCTACGGATGGAAGACTACGCCTTCGTTTAGCGAGGACTCTAAATACCTTTTTGGATACTGCGTGCCTCGTGACAAGAAAGGCCAGTGAGTAAACGTTGGTGTTTGAGCTGGATGATGCTACCCGGACGATCTCCTATGTCTCCGAGTGTTCACTCTTAGATGGTGTGTTGTGTAGTCGGCTTAGTTTGGTTTTATGCAATTATGTTCTTTTTCTATTGTTATTTTTTTGTGCGCACAGAAACACACTTCTATCTAGGTAGTATGTCAACTTTGCTTATTACCAGCAATGTCAAGAAAATATATGCTGTAGTGAAATAAACTTTCATCTACTCGAAAAAAACAAAAGGCCTATTGTTTTCCAAAACGGTAGTTCTCGGCCATTGATTCTTCTGAACCAAATATTTGCAAGCTCTAAATTGTAGCTACTCCAACTTGTTGTTTGGCCATCTAAGGCCCTCCCCGTTTTTTCTCCGTTTAGCGTCGTCCGACCGACCCAAATTTTTGGCATTTTCAGAAAAAAAAAACAAAACAAAAAACAAACAACAAAAAAAAAAACAAGTAACGACCTAGTTAAACCATTTTTCACTTGAAATAAAGAAATAACTACAATTAATCCACAGTTATCAAGTTACCGTAAAATTCCGAAAATAAGCTCCTCTATGTATAAGCCCCTCCAAATATAGGCCCCCCAAACCTGTAACGCAAAGAGAGCTTTAATCTCTAGAGAACGTGTTCCAAAAAGTAATACCGGAAAGTACAAGGAAAGAGGTAACTCAGATCCAAAGAACATGAGTCCTCGTGATCGAATCGAAGAATTCCCTGGGGAANTATCTAGGTAGTATGTCAACTTTGCTTATTACCAGCAATGTCAAGAAAATATATGCTGTAGTGAAATAAACTTTCATCTACTCGAAAAAAACAAAAGGCCTATTGTTTTCCAAAACGGTAGTTCTCGGCCATTGATTCTTCTGAACCAAATATTTGCAAGCTCTAAATTGTAGCTACTCCAACTTGTTGTTTGGCCATCTAAGACCCTCCCCGTTTTTTCTCCGTTTAGCGTCGTCCGACCGACCCAAATTTTTGGCATTTTCAGAAAAACAAAACAAAACAAAAAACAAACAAAAAAAAAAACAAGTAACGACCTAGTTAAACCATTTTTCACTTGAAATAAAGAAATAACTGCAATTAATCCACAGTTATCAAGTTACCGTAAAATTCCGAAAATAAGCCCCTCTATGTATAAGCCCCTCCAAATATAGGCCCCCCAAACCCGTAACGCAAAGAGAGCTTTAATCTCTAGAGAACGTGTTCCAAAAAGTAATACCGGAAAGTACAAGGAAAGAGGTAACTCAGATCCAAAGAACATGAGTCCTCGTGATCGAATCGAAGAATTCCCTGGGGAAAATTTGTGTCTTCGAGGTGGAAAACTGTTTTGCAATGGGTGTAAGGAGATATTGAGCTCTAAAAAGAGCATTCTCAAAAACCACTTGGCTTCCAAAAAACATGCCGCAGGCAAAGAGAAGTTAAAAGTGACAAAAAAGCGAGATCATGTGCGCACATGCGTATTTGCCATGCTAAAGACTGTAAGACTGGAAGGTGGACTATATGAATGTTCATTGAAGTCAAAATTGATAGAGTTAAGCTACTGATGATCTTTATTTTCCTTAAAATCAGTGTAAAATCTAAGTAGCATAATTTCGGTAACAGAGAGCATAATTTTCAGAAAGTAGCATAGTTTTGGCATAATTTCTAAAAAAATATGAGCACTGCTAAAAGCATAATATGCTTTTTTTTCGAGCACAATCTAGCAAAGCCTACCGGCAATGCAAATTGGTCATTTTGGGACGTGTTGTGTCTAATCCCTTGGGTGTCAAGTACCAATCATGTATGCGTCACGATCGGTCTTCAGTACTTGGGACGGTGCCACATATGCATTAATCACGGTTCAGAAAAGTTTTAAAAACGCTTTTTGAACATGATGAATGAAAACATTACAAAGACCAGAACAAAAATGAATAAACAGCAAGTGCAACAAGAAAATGAGAATACCAGAGAAGAGATGGAATCAATCACAGTTGTGTACCGTGGCAAAGAACACAAGATCGAATTTCCCAATAATGCGGACGCGAAATTGATATGTCAAAGCATCAAGAGTGAAACCGGCGTAAGGGGCTCGTTTTATGTGCACTTTGGAGAACAGTCAAATAACTATTTACACTGCTCAAGTGTTACTAGAGGAAATTTAGCCAAACTGGCAGGAAAATCTCTCGAAGTAAGAGGAGGAAATGGTAAGGACGTCCGAACATGTTTCAAAAATTAATTGAGCTTTTATAAAAGTGTGGAGTAGTTTGTGATCGTGTTACGTAATGCGAACCGAGAAAACTAACATTATTGCATTAAGGTATTACCAGGGTTTTTTAACTGAATAAAACAAAGTGAAAATAATATTTTAAGCAAAGTAAAAGTTGGAAATTGATACCCGACCACTATTTAATTTGAAGAATGGTTTATTTTCTCCATAAACCGTATGACAATCACTAACAGTGTTGTCCAGTGACTATCTTCTTGCAGCAACAAGTTGTAGGGACAAAATTTATTGTGTTTACTTATTACGCGATCTGTCACAGCAAGTATAAAGTTTGTCCTCATAGCATGCCCACAGAGCCTAGAATCCCGAACTCTGCCGACTATGGCATTCTAAAGCTGTAGTGTTGCCCCGATCAAATCTCCATTCCACTGACACTAAATATTGGTCTAGGGTAGTCTTAGGCTGGAAGGGAGGGAGGCACTCCCTTCTTTGGTTTCCTCCCTTTTTGGTGTGATATTGGGTATATAGACATGGAACATGATAGTTTTGAGAAGAATGCCATGCACTGCACTCCCACACATTTCCAGGCACTAGGTACTCAATTTACACTATCGAAACCATGTAAAAAACTCAATCAGTAATTAATTTGTATCTCTACAATTAATTCACAGAAGATAATGAAAAGAGCATGATATTTTCTTTGCATCCTTTGGGAATCCAAGCCCTACGAGCTACAACAACACAGTATGCTCAATTGTGAACTAAAACTTCCCTTATAGTGAGGTATGGAATGAACTTGCCTTAAAGTAATTCCTGTAGTTTTCTTCTTTCCCCTTGAATCAAAAATGAAATTATGAGGTTGAAGTAAATAGTCTCTCCAGGGTCAGTTTATATGTTTTCTTATTCTCTATGATGAGTTTAATCCTGGCACCATGGTGATCACACAACCTTTCAGTGTGCCATGGGTTCAAATCCCAAAAGCAACACCATCCATGTGTGGAGTTTGCTGTTGGTTTGCTTCTCTGCTCTGACGTTTTTTCTCTGTCACTCAGGGTGCCCCAGTCCTCAAAAAACAAAATATCCATGGCACGTTTTCAATTTGATACCCGTTTTGGCCAAATAAGGAAGTGCCCCCAGGTCTAACCATTTCCAGGGCGAAGGCAGAAGCTAGTTATTTTAATACCCTGAGTGTTCATCCAGGTGGGAACTGAACTCACATCTCTCTCTGCAGGACCAGCGCTCCTGATTAACAACTAACCTAACCTTGCTGTGGCAAGGAATAGTTCAACTGGCTGACTGATTTCGGAGATAATACAGTTCTTATTCTAGTTAAAGAATACCATCAAGATCTAATTACCACAAAAAGTACCAGGAAGTCAACCTGTATGTCATGCATGAGTGGTATATAAGTACACTATTTGTAGACCAAACCTGAACATTCAGTTATTTAAACAGAGTTTTCATGAAAGCATATAACATAGACTAGAAAGGCATTCCCACAAAGATTTCCTTAACCGTGGTCTTAGTTAGACTTTGTTTAAATAACTGCCCCTCAGTGTCTCAATCCCTAAAAGCCTGGTTAATGGTAGAATTATCAAGAGCACGGTTATTCGCTAATACATGCAATATTGGTTTTCAGATTTCAACAAGGGAGGAGACCCGATCTGGTATTACAACACCCAATCCCTGAAGCCTGAGGTTCAACGAAAGTTTAAAGAGATGGAGATTGTGCCTTTTGACAATCCTCCGTGAGGAGTTCAAAGGAATTGTATAAACTAGAAACTCTGATCTGTGATTTGTGTGAGGAAATGTGTCTAGCCCTGTAGCATGCTATTGAGGGAATTCTCTCATGAATGTAAGCGAGAGTACCAGAAGAGTGATAACGTTTCTTTAAAATTTAGAAATAGCCTGAGCTAATTAGAGTGAAGAAAGAGCTATAACATTTTGTAATTTGGCACAACTGTGAGTTTTCATGGAAGAGGATATGTAAGTCTCAGATGAAAAAAAGATTTTATTTTTCTGGGTTTTGAGTTGCTTACATTATGTTAAATCTTTGAAAAAAATTATTTTCTGTAAAATTTATATCAGATGTGTTGTTCCAGAAAAATTGCAGCGGTGCCATACTGCCCCTTGGAGATTTTTAGCCTTGATCCCCCACCATCCCCATTTTTTGGCCTTTTGAGGTGCTCTTGACTTCTCCCTTGGAAGTTCCAATCAATCTTCATGGAGTTGGCAAGAATATTTTTTGGAACCACACAGAATGAATGGTAAACATTGGTTCACACATAAATAAACTTACACCTTCTGGACCAGATCATTTGTGCAGTCAAACCAACGTGAAAGCAAAAGATTTACAAATATTCTCACAAACACTGTGAAAAATTAGTGTGTGTTTCCTAACATACCAGGACTGAGTTAAGTGGAGTGAAAAAAGTTTTGGCAGATGTTATTTATTTACCTGAAGAATAGATGCATGTCTGGATTTATAAAGTATTTATAGAATATTTATCTTAAAGAGTGTGTATTAGTCATTAAAGTGTTCAAGGAGTACTGATTTCTAAAGTGGAACCTTGGCTTAGTTTTACTCTTGTTATTAAAACTCCACTAAGGATCACTTGTTTGAGCCTCTATCAATCACTGCTCTTCTCCCGGGGGATATTCCCTTGATTTTGGGGGGTCTTCGGTCTTAAACCGGATATACAATTTCACTGTTTAGCATCTTGAAAAGGGAATGAACGTGGGCGATGTGTGCTCTACATCAAATTCTATCATGTTAGTTTTAAGGACATACTTAATTCTGTGTGCAAAATGTAGTGAATAAAAAAGGTCAGTCTCAAACAGGGTAAGCATTCGAAGGGCTCAAACGCTTAGTGGTTGCTCCATCCCGGACGCTACGCCATACCTTTGCATAGTACAGCAGGATTTATGCCCCCCCTCCTCCCTGTCTTTTTGCCACTGACAGTTGCTAAAGGGTTCTTATTCTCCCAGAGTCAACAGTATTTTCAAGACATGTAAACCTGTGCTTCCTTTGATTTGCATCAATATTAAGAAACCCTAATGGTGTATTTTGGTACTACAGAAATATCCCCATTTCCCCATGGAGGGTTCTTTGGTTTAAACTCCACTTCTCTGGAAGTTTCCATTTAGTTTTATACTTTCTTCAAAAAATATTGACACTCTAATGACAGAATTTTCAATGATCCTCCATATGGTGAACATGGATATTTCTTGGAAACACACTTTTTACATACAGTCGACTTCCTTGGGCAGGCACTCCGGAGAGTACAAAAGGACGAAGAATACCAGGGGCCATCTCTAGGGGTCTATTTAAAGGGGTGTACCTTAAGATTTCCCCCCAACTGTTGTGGGCGACTCTGGTAATTTTGGGTGAGTACAAATTGCCACGGGAAGAACCAATCATTCTATTAGTCTTGACACTGAGATTTGTCACATTGCAAGGCAAACCAAACCAATCAAACCATTTCAAGTTTTGTGATCTTTTTCTTTATTCTCGACACCTTTACTTTCAGTTAACCAGTGAAAAAAAGAAGAAATACAAGATGCTATTTTATGTTTTGGGTAGCCTGTAAGAGCAGATACCTACCTGCTTTTGTTTACTGGGCATGTGAAGCAAAATGCTGGGGAGGGCATCTGCTCTCACAGGCAGAAGGTCAAAACACACTAGGTGAAAAGTCGCAGCAACATGTTCTAGAAACACGTCATAGTGACAAATTGCTGTGTGTAATAGAGAATTTTGTGAAAATCTTTGTCTCTGCAACAGAATTTTGTCACTGCAACAAGTCACAAAAAACAAATCAGACTGAATTTGTGCAACTTGTTATGGCAACAAAATTCCCTAGTACACAAAGCAATTTGTCACAGCAATATGTTACTGCAACTAGCCACCCAACCTGTACACAAGAAGTGATTTGTCAATGGAACAGGTTGCTGCAATTTGTCACCTGGTGTGTTCTAACCTTAATTTATGGTTAGAGTAACAGTAAAGGAAAAGAAATTAATGGGCAACGGTAAAAGCTCAGGTATATATATATCACAAAAATACATTTTATGCTGGCTAACTTCAAGTTAACAGTTGTGGTTCCAGCCACATAAAAACACTGCATTTATTTTCATAACCTGTAATATATGAACAACAAAAGAATGCAGTGCCATTTTTTGGCTTCCAGTTAAGGAAAGAGGCAATTTTTCATAGATAGTTTATGTTACTAAAAGTCACAATTATGCAGTGTCCAGCACTGTTTCTTGTAACCTCATTTCCTTCTTCACAGATAAGATTATCAACCGTTCTGAGTAGCCACGCCCACCATATACTAATAACCCTCTAATTAGAACTTTGGGTGTTTTAATTCATTACCATGATTTCTTACCATTGTCAACTACTGTGGCAAATCTTACGTACTCTTTAACTAGACAAAAGTCATGAATTTAATCGGAATTTTCACTAGCGCGTCAAGTATTGATCCCTTTTTTCCAACCAACACACAAAAAACAAAATTTCGTTTTTGAACAGTTCTATAACCATAATTGCTATCCATAATAAGGTCATCTAGTATCATTTACAGTAATATTTAATTGAAGTGGCAGTCCCTGTATAATTTAATCATTATGGAACAATAATCCTGTAGTCGGACACCTTGTGCAGAGAAAATAGCTTTTTGCTCATTGCAAAAATGGCACCCACATTTGAATAACACTTTTTTGATTAAAGCCCCATGAGTGATCATTTCGTTCAATTCTCCTAGTCTGTCTCTTGTTTATTTACTGGCATTGTTAGGAAAAAAATTGATGTTGATCACTCTTGGGACTTATAAAGGGTTAATTAGCCATGGTCTGTACAAATGAGGAAGCTTTGTAGAAATTAAATACAGGTACCTCAAAGATTAGGCCATCACTTTCACTCTTTAGACCTGCTGAGTTACTAACTACCTTTTACAAAATACAGTCAAAGCTTCCTAAAGTCGACACCTTCGAATGATTTTCATAAGTGGAGGGTTCAAATGAGGTTTTGTCAATTGACGGTTCCAAGCAAGCATTTCCATGAGGTTACAAAGTAAAGAAAGACCAAGGAATGGGATTTTTGGCCGCATGAATAATGGCACAATAGCCAAAGAATGAAAGAGGAGGGGGCTTGGAGTTTCCTTCCTTCCCCTCTCACTCCCCCTCTTTTACTCACCCCATTTTTTGCGCAGTCTTTCTTTGCTCCAAAAAACACAGAAACCGTTGCTACAAAGGCTAAAGGTCCTTGCAAGTTCAGCTGCCTGCTTAAAGGAGGGTCCATTACAAGACCTTTGACTGTATCTTTTAATAAGAGACCAGAAGTTTTTTTTAGAAGGTGCAGTCAAAACTGCCTTAGTTTATCTCCACTTGGTATGGCTCCAATCATAAAAATAACTATTTTCAAAACTTAGTCCACCACACACCTTTTAAAGAAGTAGACAGTTAAGCTGTAATTTATATTATCACGTCAATTTTGTTTCTTCATTTGATGACTAGTTCAATAGCCCATTTTACAAAGAGATGAACACGAGGCTGGAGCTGACCTTGTTTTGATACAAACCTCCCTGCTTTCATATGTAAATCATGCGCGCTGTTCTTATGCAAACTACTATTTTTTAAGCATAATTTCCACAAGAAAACAAGGGAGGTTTGATCAAAACAAGGTCAACCTCGGCCTCACACTCAATCGAAGGATAGAGCACCAAGTGCCTAACTGTAAAATCGTCTATTCTCAGCTCTCATAAATGACTGATATCAAGAGGGAAAACAAGTTTCAAGCTAATTGATTCTTAATCAGTTCAACCCTTCAATCCTTAGGCTGAGTTACAACAAGATAACTTATTACTCTAAGACTTAAAAAAAAACAAAAAAAAAACAGTGTAACTTTTAAAACCATTGAGGAATTCAAATGGTGTTACCAGTCAAATGAGACCTCTTGTAAATTTTATTTCTTATTTCTTAGGATTGTAGTACAAAAAATTGGGGCATTTTTGTGAATTTGCCACATTGGCTACAAACTTTGGGTGAAGCCTGGGTTAAGAAGGCCCAATAGGTGCCCACATACAAGAATTTCTGCCATATATAAATAATACAAGTTTTGCTGATTTTTTCAGTCAGAAAAAAAATATTGTTAGCTAGCTAGCCAGGCATGGAAGTGACCTTAACTGCACTGTCAAATGGATGTGTACATGCAAGACAACAATGAATAGTAAATAAAATATTTAATTAAAATACCTTCTATGACCAGAAAGCCTTGCAAGTCTTCTTCACTGATTTTTAACTTTAGGACCGAACACACTTATAAAAGCAAAAACATAGCAGACGCTAATTGAATGATTTAACTTTGCACAACACTGACAGTGATATTTATACAACCATAGAACTATGATTCACGTTCTAAAAAATTAAATTTATATGTTGTTTATGTACAAGGATATCTACTATTGCTTTAATCTTATAATAAATGCTATTTATTTGCTGACAGGAACGTTACCATAACATCAATTTATTGAGTTGATTCTTCTACATTAGTGACCTACGTGGGAAAAAATTTAAATTAGTAAATTTACAGGTTTTTTTTTTAAATTCAGGAAAAAAAGAACATTAAGAGATACTGTCAAACCCTGCTTTGAGGACACCCGCTTAATACGGATACCTCATTATTAGGGACAGTTTGCTTTGTTCCTGGGGAAATTCAACCCCCTTAATACAGACACCCCGTTTATACGGACACTTTCTATGGCCCCCTCAGTGTCGATAATAACAGGGTTTGACTGTATTTGCAGCACCTTTGCATCTATGTGTTGTACAAAAAGAGTGAAACCAAGCACAGATAACCAGAAAGGAATCTAATGCTGGACTAGTGATTACCAAAGGTTAGGGGGCGTGGGCAACAATGGTCGGAGGTCAAAATACTTTTGCTCCAATGCTGTGCTTTGCATAAGTTTCCCTTGACAGATGGTCAAAACGCGTGTGAACAGATTACAAGGGGTAGAAGGTTGAAACACATGTGATCAAATTGCATTTTAAGCGTTCCATTCATTCTTAGTGGAAATCCAAACGAATGCTGGCTACATAGATGCGACACATGTGTAATAACACCCTGGAGATTAGGATTGCGGGCTCCTCTTGTCGCCCGCAATAAATCATTATGCAGTAAGAGTAACCTGAACAAGGAGTTAATGGCTCTCTCCTCCGCAAGGGCCTTTTTGTGTCGCAGGAAAGCTGGGGAGAGGAAAAAAGAAAGCGATACCCAGCAGGAGCCCATGCCGTGGAGAGAGAGAGAGAGAGGAGGAAGCCCTGAAAACGACCGCACCGATCAACAGTGATGAAGACCATGAAAGTGATCACACCATAATTTTACATCCAACAGTTATGACAATGATTTTTAAACTGAAGAAAGGTGTGATGTGATGAGATAAAGCATTTTTCCGAATCAGCATAGGGAATGAATAAAAGAGTCATCATGTAAAATTCAAATATACAGTCAAGTGATGGTGGTGGACTAG